TACGGACAATAAGTACCAACAATTAAGGTGTGGCATGCTGGGGGTGTGACGTGTTCAGGATCTGGAGCGGTTTCCTCATCATCCTCTGCTCAGACACCTCTGTCAGAGACTGCAGCTCCACTCCCAGAACTGAGCCAGCTCTCTTGATGAGCTTATCAAGTCCATTTATTCCAATAAAGTTGTCTTAAACAGACAAAGTCCAAGTAAATATGGAGTAAGTTTACATTGTCAGTAATATCATGAAGGTTCATGCTGAGCAAGGTTCATGCACAAGGTTCATTGTCAGTAATACTTCACACAAATGCCTGAAACTACAGATTGAAGACTTCATCACATCACTGCCAAAAACGTCAAACTAGTTGAACAAAGTGAGACATCTGTTTGTTTACCTTCCCAAGGAAGAGCCTTTAAGTACATACTTTGATTAGATTTGGACTACAGGAAGAGGCAAATGATGCGTTTGAATGAAAATTTCACTTCCAACCAGCTTATATCTGAAATTCTCTATCTGTACCGTTTTAACTGAGCCTCTGTTTAAACAATTTCAGTGTTGGAACATACTGAAGGCAGACATTCATTGACCTTTCAACAATTTCCTGCAGGGTCAATAAAGTTCTATCTTATCTCATCTTACTTTTTCAAATTCTAAATCTATATTAATTGTGTTGGGCAATGATTTATTCAAGATTAGTCACAAAGAGTTGTAAACTAATTACCAGTTTTGGGTCTTTTAAATTTGACAGCCCCTTAGTTGTATTAACTTTCCCTGGCTGGATCTTCTTTATGGCTTTTGTTCTTGTAAAAAAAAAAGAAGCAAATGGTAAAATACAGAATCACCCTTGCAGTGCAAAAAAAAAAAAGATTAAATTAGCATCATTATTACGAGGGCTATTTGTATCGTAACATGTATGACAAGAATGTTGAACTTTTGAAAATCTTTAGGGTATGACATATTAAACCCACATTTCTTGAAGGTTTAGAAGGCTCTAAAATCTGCACTACAGGAAGTTCAGCCAGGCAAATGCACTCAATCTTTCATAAAACAAAGATTCCCTAAAGGTTGATTTTTATTTTTTTTAAATATTGCTTTACCTAATACATAGTTGGTACTTTCTCACTGATAAAAAAAAAAACATACTAAGCCATAAGTGCTGATGCATTTACATCATTATAAAAATGCATTTATCAAGATATGCTGATGATAATCACATTTTTTATTATTATTATCTTTGGCCCATAGAGCCACACAAAAAAAAAACCACTGTTTTGTTTTGATTACTTTTTTGGCTGCCGAACATGTCCAGCTTCTTTACTGCCCCTTTTCCATTTGTACCTTTAGTAACGGTACACAGTTTACACCGGGCACAGTTACTGAAAGCCAAGAGCTCAGGGGCCGGACATCCAGCAGTTATTGTCATTATAGTGGTTGAATATTAAACCTAGCATTATTTAAATATGTACCCATTGGTGGGCCGAACTGAGCTCACCCATGGGCCTGATTTGGCCCCTGGACCACCAGTTGAATAGCCCTGGGTTATATGGCTCATAATGCAGTTTCAGGGAACAGTTTTGGATACAGCAGCAGCATGGGTTGAATGACATTAGTCTTTAATGTACTTTAACTCCCATGTGGCCATATTAATTACAGTAATGGGACAAATTTTCCTGCCTGAGGGGTTGGAGGTACCTTACATTCATCAGTGTTCCCAGTCTTTACACTGTCAGATTTTTAGTCTATTATTCATATTTTATATGACAGGGGTGTCCATTCATGGTCCTTGAGGGCCACTCCTGTATGTTTTACTTGTTTCTCTGCTCCAACATACCTGATTGAGTTTGAATTACGTCTTTGTGTTCTGAAGAAGGCGCACCCATTCATTCAAATCAGGTGTACTGGAGCAGAGAAACTTCTCAAACATGCAGGATAGTGGCCTTCTAGGACCAGTATTTGATACCCCTGGTATATGGTAAAACATCTTTCCATTTTTTAACTAGAGTTTTGACATTAATCTAATGGAGGAGTTTGGCACAAAGTCCATTCTTAGCTAATCATTTGTAACGCTTAACCCCAATTTGACATTCTGGCCTGTCACAAATCAGTTTGCAGTTTTCCATTAATTACGTCCTCGTTTGTCTCTGACAGAACTGAAGACAACAGAATACTGATTCAGATATGATTTTAAAAACTGGGCGTGTTGCCAGAATTCTGGATGCTAATGAGAAAAGCTTCTTTTAAGTGTCTGCTGAGGTGTTAATCAGAATGTTGAACAGGTCGTTAATGGAAAATATTCAGGGCAATGATATTTGTGTAGCAGGTTTTCTAATGAACTATTGTAAAACTGTGAAGTACAACAAAGTGTCAACCAGTTAATATGTGTAACGCTTTAGCTCTGTTTAATTGCACAAAATATAATTAATTTTTAATTTGTTTCAATCTAATACCATGAACAGATATCTTTCTTTGTTTGTTTGGACTTCTGGATTGCTGAAAAAGAAATGCATTGGTGTGGCCATAGATGGGGTTTGATGAAATTAGTGGCCACCATCTTGTTAGGTGCTAAGCCTTTTTTCTGTGTGTGTGTATGAACAAGTCGAATACACACTTTACTAACTTGTGCTGTGTCATCAGTCCAACAATGCATAGAAAGTGTTTTAATACTTAAATCAACATACAGTATATTGTGAAAATTATGGGAGAAAAGTATCCTATAATGAGCATTACACCAAGCCTGGTCAAGCATTAGTGGGGGCAAAACACCAGCCCAGTACCACCATGATAAGACTAATGTGTTAGTCATTCTAGTCTAAACAGTGCATCAATAATCCATCCAGAGCTATGCTACCAGTATGCCAGTTAGTTTCACTTAGAATAATAAATACAATTTATTTTTCAAAGAAAAAAACATACGCAATACCATATTCTTTGAAGTTTGAGTTCCGATAATTGTAATAATGATAACACATTGGCCATTCCAATGATTTCTTTTTTTTTTTACCCCCAGTGCAATGGATCAACCTCATACTGGTACTGCTTAAAAGTAACCTGATTTGGTCTGAAGTAATGGGTGCAATTGTTATTTTTCAAACTGGTAGTCTTAGGTTTTGTTTTGAGGGAAAGTGCAAACAGGCATCTGACCAAGGTTCTCTTACACCTTAGTTTTATTTCTTTACACACACCCTGTTCTTTTATCCGTGTACTGTTAGGTATAGCTCCTGTTCCCTCAGATCAACACTGTCATGAACAAACACAAATATGGCCATGCATACAAACCACCAGACAGCTGCTTTTTAACCGTGGATTGGATTTCATTCTCAAGATCTCATTAATTCCTTATGGGTGCTCATATTGATTCTGGGTGCCTCTGGTCTTGTTAATTCAGCTCAGCCCAGATGGGTTTGGATTCAGTTTGTGTCGCCCGAAGGTGAATGTTACTTGTAAAAAATGGTGAATATAAGACAGGAATGTTTGGAGTGAGAAGGTAAGAAACGCAGAAAAGACAAAAGGTGTACAAGAGAAATTAGTAAAAATATAGCAATAAAAAGAAATAGTATTTCATTGACTTCAGATTGGACTTTTTAAATAAAACCTAATAGTGTTGTAATCAATTACTGATTTTTATCTTAAAACATGAGTTACTATAAACTCTTTCTTTCATTAATATATTATGCTTAAAGACACATAAATCCTTTTCAACAAGCTTCAGTGGAAAAGCTGTTTGGGTTTTTGTGTGCTGAATACTTAGTGTGTCAAAGCAACATGGGTGTTTGAAAGTGTATTTTGACATAAAGGCCAAATGCATATCTGCAAAATATTTAACGCTGAATACATCTAAATATTTATTTGTAATAATTAGTGTGCAGTAAAAGAAGAAGCTTGTGTTTAACCATAGAATGAACAGATGCTTCTAGTAAACACCGCCTGAGCCTGAAAAAATAGTAAGTGTTCATGTCCCCTCAAGACATTTTTTGACCGTTCCCTTGGACACAAAAATGCCATTATAAGTAGTTCAGAAGATGTTAAGAAGGAACATGTTGTTCTTTCTCCTGTAACTTTTCTGCCGAGGTGAGAATGGACCGAGAGGAGTTATTTGTCATCATCAGGCTGAGCGCCCTGCGCCTGTCTGCTGGTCAAACTGTCTTGAAAAACATTTTCATCTTTTTTTTTCTATCTTTACTCCTTTAAAGTTTTTCATTTCTTTTCTACCTAACTCCAACTTTGTTTGTTTAACCTTTCCCCCCACGTTTTATACCTCTTCCTGCTCTTTGATGCCCACGCTGAATGAATTCCCTTACAATGATCATAACTCACAATTATACAAATTGTTTAGTCCAAGGTACATTAGTTTATTTTTTACCTTGCTCTATTTTGCTCTTCCAGGTTTGGAAAAAGTTGGTCGTGACTCCAGCTATGAACAGGAAGGGAAGGTTCAGTTTGTGATGGATGCGGTGTACGCCATGGCACATGCTCTGCACCGCATGCACCGAGAGCTGTGCTACGGGTACCCAGGCCTCTGCCCGCAGATGGCCAACAACATTGATGGCAAAGAGCTGCTCGGCCACATTCGTGCTGTTAAGTTCAATGGTAAGTTTTGTTCTTGGTTTTTACTCTGCTTCCAACACAAATGGTGCATGTTGTTTACTCAAATACTAAATTAAGAAAGTAGAAGAGCAAGAATATGTAAATGTGACTGAAACTAACTGATTCTAAAAACACCAAAATCCTAAATTGCATTGAAAAGTACAGATTCTGTGCTAATTTTTGGTGTAGCTGGGCTTGATGGTAACTCATAGCACGTACTGAAAATGCTCAAAATTTTCCATATTTTCCGGACTTTGAGTCACACTTCTTTCCATAGTTTGGCCAGTCTTGCGACTTGTAGTCCGAAGCTACTTGTATACGTATTTTTCCCTATGCATGACGCAATTTTTGACTGACACGGTAAATGTTCATTCATACTGACATGAACCAAAGAGTAAACATTACCATTTGCAGCTGCGAGAGGGCCCTCTAGGCTTTTGACAACTATATGTTGTTCCTCTACCACTAACCCCCACAACATTCACTTAGAGACATCTGAGAAAAACTCAACACAAGTAAAATGCCCCCCAAAGTGATGTGGAATGAGATTGGTGAATTTACCAGTAACTTGCTTGTCAGACTCATTGGCTTGTTATGTTAATTAAGCATGTTCAGGATCCCAGGTATGTTCTGTGTGTTATTGTTATTTAAGATTAAATGTCTGTTCTTGCACTTAGTGAAATACACTTCTAGATAAATGTGACTTATACTCCAAAGTGACTTATCTATAGATTTTTCCTATTCGTGAGGCATTTTTTTGGACTGATGCGACCATACTCCGGAGCAACTTGTAGTCCAGAAAATACGGTAATATCTTTACTTAAAACTTAATTGTTAACCCATTTAGTCAGTCCTGTTTGTCCATTTTACAATATTTCTCATGACCCACTCGACCGGTTTTACAGAAAAATGTTAAACATATGAAAATATCTATAGTCAACCCAATTCAAGGTCACTACCAGAACCAATATTAGCCCCCACACAAAAGGCTTTAGCTCAGTCAATTCAAAAGATATTAAGCAAAAATCTTAGGTGGTATTAGGTAAGAGTCATTCGCAATGCATGCTTTGAGTGTGCATCTCAAGATACCGTATGAGCTTGTGCATAACGTTAATGTAATGCAACTCCATGATATCTCAATATAAGATGGTCTAAGTCTAGAAATTTGGCATTAAATGCAGAATTATATACATACCATCAATGGATACAAGTCCTTAAATTCACATAGAAGTGGAAATATATCAAGAATATGTCCTTAAATTTGGAGGCTCAGAAAGCCATCATAAACTAGCATGCTAAAATTAACCAGCATTTATCGAAGGAGAGAAATGGATCATAAGCGTAACAGCTTGTTTTTATGTAGACTGGTCATGGACAACATTTCTACAAGACCACAGTAGGCCACTTGATTTAACTGGCCCTTTCATGTTTACTTCCTATCAGTAAGAATAATCACATTTAACATCCAGAGATGAGGGGGAGGGTATACTGCCCAAGCACATATATAAGAATAATGGCTGGTGATAATGTCCATTTAATGGGCATTATGGTCCATTTAAGGAGTGAATAACAATTCCACCGGTGAGCGATGACTTTCTGTAAGAGTTTCAGACATAGTTCACCCAGCAGTCTACTTTCTTATGACTTTGTGGTTTTCATTTATATATTAAGAACTAACATTTAGAATAAATGTTTATCCAGCTTTGGTTTTAGACATATTAATTCAAGCAGTAGCCTACATATTGATTTGTTATTGACTCGGGGAACATTTACCTGTGATGAAGAGAAGGAAAAACTGAAGTGACTTAAAATTACATCAGGTAAAGCTTTTACACTGAGCTGAAATAAAGGAATACATGGAAAATAGTTCTTTACCTTTTGGAGACTGTGACACAAAGGTAAATAATTAAGTTATTGATTTTAATAGTTTAAACATTAGGGGTGGTTTTCCCTTAATGGATGGTGTCTGGTGACCTGGGGGTTTGCCAAGCTGGTGCAATTATAGTGAAAACAGTTTCATTGTAAATTAGTTCCTTTTTTGTGTGTGTGCGTTTTTTTATTTAGCTCTTACTTTTGCAGTGCCACACTTTGTCTAATCAATTAAAAAATAAAACTTATGCTTGACTTTTTCCCTTTAATATTTTTATTTTCCACACTGAGAACTGATTAACCTATGAAGTCAGTATTATTCAAGATGGCTGTCACAGCTAAGCAGCCGCCGGAAACACAAAATGGTTTTAAATTTGTCATATTTGCTGATATTGAGCTAAAGTTCCATATGGTAGTAACTGAGAGTTATTCTTAACACATAATTCAAACTGCTAACAGATCATGATATCACACATTTACAAGATTATCTAAAATGTCTCTCTTCTTATCATAAGATTATCTTAAAAAGCAGCAGACAATGTAAATTCAAGGAATGCAATACTTTTATTTCTAGACATTTTTTTTCTTACAAATGTTGCTCATTTTCAAGTATCATCAGAGCCTTTTTTTTTTTTTGAAAACGCTCTTATTAATCTCTTTTCTCCTCAATGCTCCAGTTCCTCCTTTTCATTTCCTGTGTTCCTCTGCACAGCACTGTGTGGAATACATAAAAGCTGATGAATACAGAGCAAGAGAGCCTGCAGAAAGGTTGTTGTATTGTGTAGATCATAGGAAGACCTGTCTGATTTAAATGTAAGATTAAAACTGCATGAATATGACTGTGTGGGAAAACGTGTGCTGGTGTTTGTTGTATCCGGAACCATCCGTTTGTCATCACTTGAAGTGTCAGAAAGCAATTCACAAGCGGACGCTGATTGCTCTTTCATACTCCAGCACCAAGTTTATGCTCAGGTGTGTTTCTCAGTTATTGCTGGCCTAGAGGCAAGAGAAATCATCCCATAAACACTAAGTCACAAACTTAATCCCTAGATGAGTCACTGAAGCCTTCTCAGTCATTGGAACTTCACAAAACGTGCTGTAAGTGATCTTGGAGAGTAAAAAAAGAAAAAGGTTACAGTGTTCAAATGATTTCAGAATGCAAGTTTGAGGTCATGTTGCCTGGTTGTTTTACAAGCTGATGGCACCTTATGATAGAAATACATGCAGATAAAGATAAATACATGCATATTAGTTCATGTTTTCATAGATATGTTAACAATTATACATGTGTATATATATACACACATATATATACATACACTACCTTGCCAAAAGTATTTGCTCACCAATCTAAATGATCAGAATCAGGTGTTCCAATCACTTCCATGGCCACAGGTGTATAAAATGAAGCACCTAGGCATGCAGACTGTTTTACAAACATTTGTGAAAGAATGGGTCGCTCTCGGGAGCTCAGTGAAATCCAGCGTGGAACTGATAGGATGCCACCTATGCAACAAATCCAGTCATGAAATTTCCTCGCTCCTAAATATTCCACAATCAACTGTCAGTTGTATTATAAGAAAATGGAAGTGTTTGGGAATGACAGCAACTCAGCCACGAAGTGGTAGGCCACTTAAACTGATGGGGCAGGGTCAGCGGATGCTGAAACGCATAGTGCGAAGAGGTGGAGATGTTTTTCAGGAGCTGGGCATGGCCCCTTGGTTCCAGTGAAAGGAACTCTGACTGCTTCAACATACCAAGATATTTTGGACAATTCCATGCTCCCAACTTTGTGGGAACAGTTTGGAGCTGGCCCCTTCCTCTTCCAATACGTCTGTGCACCAGTGCACAAAGCAAGGTCCATAAAGACATGGATTGCAGAGTCTGGTGTGGATGAACTTGACTGGCCTGCACAGAGTCCTGACCTCAACCTGATAGAACACCTTTGGGATGAATTAGAGCGGAGACTGAGAGCCAGGCCTTCTCGTCCAACATCATCAGTATGTGACCTCACAAACGTGCTTCTGGAAGAATGGTCAAAAATCCCCATAAACACACTCCTAAACCTTGTGGACAGCTTTCCCAGAAGAGGTGAAGCTGTTCTAGCTGCATAGGGTGGAACAACGTCGTATTGAACCCTATGGATTAGGAATGGGATGTCCGTTAAGCTCATATGTGAGTCAAGGCAGTTGAGCGAATACTCTTGGTGATGTAGTGTATATATATATATATATATATATATATATATATATATATATATGAGCATGTTGAATAAAAGCCTGATTGAGGTGTTTATCTTACAAGTGTCCTAATGAATTGTACATCAGTAGTGAAAACTATTTTAATTAGCAATATTAGGCTGAAATTGGTCTTCGTATAAAGCCCATTTAGCTTACATCATGTGACCTTTGTTTCCTGAGACTTAAGATGGCAACGCGGTCATTATTAGTTCATTGCCTTGAGTGTTTCCTGTTGGAAGAAAGTAATTTATCTCTAAAATCAGAGTGAAGACATGGTGAAGTCAGGCAAGGAATGAGAATGGTGCTGGCAGCAGGTACCAGCCAGGCAGACAGGATCCTTGCTGCCTGAATTAGACTCTAGTTTGGACTTGGTCACCCACTGGGCACACTTCCGTATGTCTCTGACTGCCTACATCACAAAAAGTGAGATATGAAGTCCCAACGGGTTTTGAAGAGGAGCCCTGCTTTGAGGTTTGGTGTGTGGGACTGTCTTGTGGGACAGTTGGGCACAAACCTCAGAAGTAACTTCTAATATCTACACAATCTGCTGTAATGTAAGTACACTATGTACACATAGTACACACTATGCTAAATGTTGGTACCTGTAGGCAATACACAGCACATTGCTGTCCATCATGGTGCAAAAAGAAGTGATGTCACTGAACGGGCTCCATCAGTAGGGTTGAGCACGTTCATCCTTCACAGGAACATAAAGTGTAGCTCATACAGATTAAAATAAATTAATTCACATGTATAAGTTACAAGTTTAAAATTCTAACTGAACAAATTGCCAGTATGACCTTTGCTGTATTCTATTAGCAAACTTTTCTAGATAGTTGTCAGAAAAAAGTTGATAGATGAAGTAATGCACCATTTAACTTTTTTTTTTTTTTT